CGCTCGTGTTGTCGATTTTATCATCCGGGGTTGTTCCAACCGCTTTTTCTGTGATTGAGTCAAAAATACGTCAAATTTAATTTTCATCAAGTTTTTTGTTTGCATCCGATTGTTTTGGAAATTCATCATGGGCCAATTAAATGGATTTATATTCATTGCTCGAGGTGGTTCAGGATGAAATTTGGAGTCAAACGACAGTGCTCGAGGTCATTTTCGATCAATGTGGAAGGTTTTGTGATCCCCGAAGTATTTTTAAGTATTCGTTATTTTGATGTCAAAGTGGCAAAAAGTTATCCGAAAGTATGACAATATTACAGTCAAAATTCTCAGGAAGACATAAGGAATGATCTGGTGTGATTTTTAGGATTTATTGATGACTCTTCAAGATTTTGAAAAATTTGATATCTTGGGGGGTCTAGGGGCATTTTGGTAATTTTTGGGAAAATTGGGTATTTTTGCAATTTTTGGGTATCAAATAGTTTAAATGATAATATCAAATGGTTTTACATTGTTTGTGTGATTCAATTGCAATTTTGGGAAATTTTGATGAATTAGAACATTCAAGTGAGGTATTTTAGGGTAAACTGTGTTCAAATAATTTTGGTCAGCCCCATAGGTGTAATGACTGCAACATTGTGATATAAAAATGCAATGTTTATGATGATCATGGGGATTATGAATGATGATACAATGTATTGGAGTCCAAAGAGGTGTAGAACAGTGCAAGACTTTCCTATGGTCCAAAGGTCCTATAAGAATTATCATCAGGGTTCCTTTATGTAATCTCTAATCTTTGTACTCAAAAAATTATTGATCACATATAAAACCAACATAGAGAACAAAGAGTTGGTTGAAATGTCTAAGAAGAAGGTGAGTTCCATTTCTAAGATGCTAAGACAGTCATTAAGAAAGTCTTAAAGCTAGATCCTAGCCACTAAAGGAAATACCCAAAACCCTCACCCAAAAGTGAGGTCAACAGCCACTTTGAGCCCTATCGCTCCCTGACTTCGTTGATATCACCTTGACGACCCGATACTGATGAGCTGCCACCCATTTGGGATACGACGATTTGTCCTCTGCCTTTATGGCCCGAACGTGCTTTGACATGTTGGGATATCCCTGTCAAGATGATTTAGGTTATTTCGTGGGCCCCGTGTGCCGATGAGCCGCTACCCATTTGGGATGTGAGAGACTCACTCTTTGCCCGATGACTTAGCGTGAGCTTTGAAGCATCGGGACAGTTCCCACACAAAATAACCTTCATTTGATTACCTATACCCCATATTTATGATAATATAAGAGAAACTCCTTTTATCAAGAATATTCTTGGGTATCCCCCAAGATGTAATTAACCAGTAGGAACACGTTCCTCTGAGAGTGCTCTTGACCCCAGAACAGGTACATACACCTGACTCTCTGGTTATGAGTAGTCTACGTAGATACTTCTTTCGTGGATATTGGTTTAAGGTGCCTCCATCCGATCTTGTTTGGGCGAATATTATTGACCTATCCTTGAGAAATTTATCGCACGTAGACTCTCTACGTTTTACTTTTTCTCTTGTTTGTTATTTTGTCGCATGTCTCTTTTTATTCGGTTCCTTTCCTCTTCGAATCACTGATTTGATTCGGGAGGGAGATTTATTTGAATGGGGGAAATATATGATGATCGATAAGCCGACGACTCCTTTTAAAATAAAAAACAGAAAAATGAACGTAAACACATTAAGGGTGTTTTCTATTGTAATGCAGCATAGAATCCAGGTAGAGATCATGAACGTAAACACATGGCTCCGTCGATTTATCAAACAGACAGGTCACTCTCATCGTCTGCTGCTTCCTCATTGAAAATGCAACCTTTTTCATTTAAGACCTCTTTGTAGGGTGGTCCAAAGTGAGTGCGATGACCTCAACTCATTTCTCTACTCAAGGAGCTTTGCCTCAGCCACAAAAAGCTTCCCGGATCGCTCACTCTTGAAAGAAAACTTCGCACCTTTGTTTCATAACCTGGAAAATCATTTTCCTGGAATCCTGCTAAACTTGGTTGGATTGGAAGGGTGGATGTTCTCCTTGATCCCTAGCGACAGAGAAGAGGGGAAACTTGACCAAAGGAAAAAAAAAAGATAAGATACTAAATTTTTTAGTTCATCCACATTTATAAGGGCATTCACATGGAATTATAGGAGTATTCAACTATTACACATCAAATAATTATGAATATCAACAACTTTTAAAAATTAAGATTCTTCTATCATTATCAAAGATGTCACTCTAAAGAAGCATAAGAATCAAGAAACTTAAATATATACATAAAAAATGTGTCAACACAAATCTCAAAAAAATCCAACAGCCAACAGAGAAGATGATATGACGATTTGAGATCCACCAAGGGAGGCTCGGAAGTCCGCATTTTCCCTCCCGACTCCTATTGGCCCAGAGAAATATAACTCAATGGCATACAAAAAATAACTTTCCTCTCAAAGAGCCACCAACACTAAACTTGTTCAAGCAAATCCATCAGGATTCCTCGACCAGGTCGAGAGGATGCTTGGAGCTACCCAAATCTAGCTAGAAGGCCTACACCTTATGATGAACCCTTCAATAATAACTGTCTGGATCAAGACCTAATCGGACTTCATCTCAGACTCCCGACACGTAGTCGCCTGGATCATGACTCAGTTAGACGCCATCTCAGTCTACCGACACATAACCGCCCGAATTATGGACGGTCGGACACCATTTTAGGCTCCAGGCCATACAACTATGTATTGACCAAAATATCCCCTACTGTACCTATTTTTTTAGGGGTACAAATGTAACCTCACAACCCCCATTCCTATAAATAATGACTCATTTCATGAATAAAAGTTACGTGATTTTATTGTTCCTTACTGTGCTCTCTCTGCTTTTTTTTGCTCTCTATTCCTCAGTTGTGTCTCTAATAACATTTTAAATTATGGATAAAATGACTTTAAATATTTGTATTTTGTATGATAATGTTATGCTTTGAGGAAGGTTTTTGCGTTGTTTTGCAAATTAGAGCAAAAAGGGTAATCGAACGGGACTCGAAACATCAAATCGAAGCAAAGTTATGGTTTGGTGCCTAGACTCCAGACCAGTGTAGCCTAGGCATCAGTCCTAGTCCGGATGGTGTAATTACCCAAGAACATGGAATGTTGGTGCCAGTTAAGTTTTGCTTAGGCTCCGAGCTAACATGGTCTAGGCGCTGGGTCAGCGGTACTTAGGGGCCCAAACAAGCCAAAATTTGTCTAAAATCTTGAGAGTGAAAATTAGGTGCCACCAAAGCAGTGCCTGGGCAGCGCGATATTGTCGCCTAGGCACCGAATAATACATCTTGAATACTAAGTGAGTGGCACTTAGGTGCCAACCATTGGGCTCCTAGGCACCAAAATTTGATGATGGACAATTTTAAGCAATTCAAACTTCGGTGCGCTTGGAGAAGTATAAAAAGAATGACAACGAAAAGCCAATGGCTTTTTTCTTGAATTTTTATACCATTCATAAGGGAGAAACTTGGAGAGAAAAGGCAGGAGAAGACCAACAACAAAATGAGAAGTGAGATTTGAGAGAGCATGAGAGACAACTGGTTGTAATTTCACCTACTCTCAATTGTGAAGAAGAGAGAAGTTTTCTAGAGTTTACTTTGTGGATTGTAATAGTCTACTTTCAAGAATTCTGAATTTTAAATTTTTTCAATCAAATGAGTTTTTTGGTTTGTTCAAGCATGAGCAGTTAATAATTCTCTATTTCCTCCTTGAGGTGGGGAAGTAAGACTGATTAGTGTGAAAGTTTTGTTTGGCTTTAAGCATAAATGTTTCAGGTGATGATTAACTTTCCATTCTTCCTTTACATTTCATTTTGGTCATATGATTTATTAAGACTTTTTGTGAATTATGAGCTTAGGAAGAAATCATAATAGAATCAACTAAGTTAATCACATTAGCATAAGGGATTAGGGATATATTCTTTAGGGTAATTCAAAATTATGGCAAAAATGTTGTGATTAAGATATTAATAAGATTTATGGAAGTAAACGTATTTACTAGCCAAACTTTCTTATACTACCTAAAGGGGTTAAAGAGGGGGCGGCCTTAAGGTTGAGACTCTAGAGGTAGCAGAGAGATGAGAGAGACCACACGAGAGAGGCAGAGAAGTGAGAGAGGCAAAGACGCTAAGGAGATAGAGGGAGACACGAAGGAACTATAATAGGACGCGAGGGTAGGAAGGGGAAAAATAATGAAGCAAATGCGGGCTGCGGGGTCATACTCCGCGGCCCGTATTTACCGATGCAACATAAAAAACGTTGGTTTCGACAGTTTCAAAACTCGCCAGAGTTAAATAGCTGCATCAAACAAGGCCTTCATCCGCACTAAGTTTGGAGTTCCAACATGATTGCAACCATCAAAGCTTAATCATAATTGGCCACAATCTCAAAGACATCCACATGGATTTGATCAAAACACCTATAAGGAGAAATGATCCAAAATGATTGAAATAAACTGATAAAGAGATAACCCTAAGCAGATTTTTTCCCATTGTGGGATGAGCTATATCCCACTAATTTCTGAAAAAGTAGCTGACAGCAGCCTCTTCACATGTCTCTCTTATCCTAGAACTGGATATTTGAAATGTTATATATATATATATATATATAGATTTCAGCTTAAAATTTAATAGTTCCTCTAGTCTTTTTACAGTAATTACTTTCCCACAGCTCCTTTCTTTTCTTCCTTCTCATAATATATTCTCTATATTTCTATCCAATATGTTCTATCGCTTTCCTTATCATTACATTTTACTGTGCACAAATATCTACCTACGTACCTATCATAAGAACTATATGGAGAAAATGAGAGCTCAGACAGCATATTTGCAAGCTAACTTCATTTTTGTCAACATTACGAGCCACACAAGTCTTAGGAAAGAGAAAGATACTTTATTTCATGCAAGAAATATAATATTATATTCAATAATGAACACATATATATGATTCGCCTCACAATAATTAAAAAAAAAAACTTTTTAAACATTACCAATATGATAAATGAAACCATGCATGGTGAAAATGGTAATCGAGAGCATTTATTAATGGTGATTTTGGTGATCAGGCCAATGAAAGAATGCAGTTTCAATTCCAGACAACAAGTTGCTAAAGTGTTCATCATTAATTCCGTTTTCAATCTTGCTGCAATTCAGATCTGGAGTTGATGAGCCTTGTACAAACTGCGAGATCATCGGCTGTCGGATCGCTGAGAAAAATTCTATCTTTTTATTCTGATTTAAAAGGCTGCAGTTTTCAGAGCTGTTCTCAGTTCTATTGCTGCAGGATCCTTCAGTTTCCTTGTTCAAATTAAGAAGCTCTCCTGCTTCCCTTCCTTTAATAGCCAAAATCTGTAAGAAATTATAATTATGACATCTCTGAAAATAAACGAATCAATCAAAAATGTCAGCTTTCATATAACCACTTGAAAAGAATCTTAATATTACTCTGAAAAAGTATAAAAATGTGTGAAACGATGAGCCCAATCATTAAAATAAAGGAAGTACCTCAGCCTGAAGTTTCCTGTTCTGAGCGTGCAGAGCATCATTCTCAAGTTTAATGGCTTCAAACTGCAACTTCAGCAAATCATAATCCTTCTCCAATTGCTTCGTCTTCCACCTGGCTCTCCTGTTCTGAAACCAAATTGCGATCTGTCTTGGCTGAAGCCCGAGAGCCATTGCAAGCTGCAATTTCCTCTCTGGCTCTAACTTATTCCCAAGCTCAAAATTCTGCTCCAATGCCATCACTTGCTCCATATTCAGCCTCCTCTTTTTCTCCCCCGCCTGCGAGCAGTCATCGGAGACCTCCTCCTCTGCTTCGCAGGTCTCCAAGTTACCGGAAAAGCATACTGATCTCTTTCTCGCCATTGCTGCCATCCCTGCAATGCAAGATATCAAGAACAGATTTTTCAAAAATATGGGAAAGATTCAAACTTTGGAAATGCTTTGATATTTTAGTTTTAGTGGTTAATTTAGTTACCCATGGAGATGCCTTGCGGATCGGAGGCGAGGAATATGGGAGTGAGATTTGAGGATTGGTGATGGTGATTGAGAGCGTCTTCTTCATTCTGCATCTGTAAGATGAAGTTTGGGTGAAAGAAGGAAGAGGAAGCCATGTTTAATTTGCTGTAGAAAGATGGGAGAAATATGGGCTCAATTGAGATCTATAGCTTCTCTTCTTTTTGGTGAAGTGGGGACAGAAATCAAATAAGAAATTTCTCACTTATTATATAAATTTAAATCATATGAATTATTATAAATATAATCTAAATTAGAAAAAAATAAGAAAATGAGTGGCATAAAGTAAGTTTTAATAAAAAACCTTAATAAGGAATTATCAATTGGCAATTTGGCATTGTTAAAATTTTGAAAGTTAATTACTTGTTATTTAAGAATATGATTTAATATTGTATTTTAGATAGAAATTATTTTCCTTAAAATTGTTTGTAATTAATGAAATACATTTTTTATTTACTAGTCATAAGAATTTTTAATCATAAAATGAATAATAATTATTTTTTATTTTGATTGTAGACTAACGTGTAATCAAATTAAGCCATTAAATAAAAACTTTGCTGTTATTTATAAGGAAAAAATATGATTAATAGTATATATATTTAAAAACTATACTATTTAAATATTACCCAATCCCGTGACGCCCTCGTCACGGATCGGCTCCACCGAGGGTCCCACTGGACCATGGAGAGTCTACACACCTGGCAGGCAGTAATCTGCTCTGATACCACTTGTCACCTCCCAAAAGAGCCCTTATGGGTGGTGGGCAGCCCAGGACTTAAATACTGCTTTTCGGCCCTACACCTAGCCGATGTGGGACTATTTGTCTGTGACAATAGGCTGAGGATATCGGTTTGTGCTTGTGCGTGCACGTGAAAGAAGAGAATATATTGTGTGTGCTCATTTGTACGTGCGGATTAGGAGTGTACACCTACAATACATCTTGAGTACATTCTAGGTATACCTCGAGCACACTCTGAGTATACCACGAATACACCCCAACCACTCCAATCCAGACCCATCTTGAGTACATTCTAGGTATACCTCGAGCACACCCCCAACCACTCCTATCCAGACTTATGATCATCAGCACATAATCTTTTTTTGTGAAAACGATCATATGCACTTAATCTTTTTTTGTGAAAACGAGAGAGAGAGACGAGCAATTAGTTGGAGACATATGTAAGCACAAAGAAAAGGATGAATGGTGAAATTGTCAACAAAGTATTTTTTTTAAAATTTTTTTGGAAGGAAAATAAAATATTAAACATATAATATTTGGAACTGTTCAGTTTTTTATCATTCAATAGCAATAATATTATACTTATCTTAAAATAAATTAAATAATTATAAATTTTATCTTGATTAAGTTTATTTTATGGTTACTATAATATGTGCTCAAGTGAAATATATTGACTTGAGCAAAAAATTAGAGGATTTTATGAGCTAATAATAATTTTATTGCAGTCACCAATCATTAATTATACCCGAATTTAATTGATTATCCGGAAACTAATTAAAGAAAGAAAGGTTAGCTAACTGAAAATTAAGAAGGAATTAATGTGTGATTAAGCTTAAAATGAAGTGTTTAAGAAGCTCCCCTATGTTCCTGTAGCAATCATCGTGTTGGAATTTTGAAGTAAAAGGACCTTTCTGCTGCACCATCGTTTTCATGTCAGCAGAACCTGGACATTTTCATCGTTTTCTCATTTGCTTTTATTTTAATTTAAATCCATAATTATATTGAGAACTTTCTGTTTTATGTTTTTAAATGTTCAATAAGATATTGAAATATGGGTTGGTTAATGCCAATAAAATTTATTTTGATTATACATATATTTTTAGACGATTTACATATATACCACTTAATTCCTATTTGTTTACATATCTAACACTAAACTTCAATTTTTACATGCATGCCACCTTACCCATGCATGTAAAGATGCACTTCTCCTTTTATAAATTAAAATTACGTATTTTTTTATGAAAGATTTGGATGGTATTACTGTAAATAGTAAAATTTAGGTGTTTCGATCTGTAAATAGAGAGCAATCGCATAAACCTTTTACATTGAGAAGAACAAAATTACTAAATTTCTTCAATTACATAGAGAAATTACAAATTTAAGAGTGAACAATTGCCGGACTTGAACCTATGGTAGTTCTAGTTCCTTTTCCAAAATTTGACATCAAAATTAATCTTTTCCATCAATAAAAAATGAACTAAATCAGACCTTCTTGTCATGAAATTGTTACCATGTGATCTTACTTACCGTAGGGGTCGTCTGAGGGGTAGTCTGATTAGCCTACCTTGGTTAGACGATGCTCATGTGATGACAACATTTGCCTGATGGTGGTTATCACCAAAGATATATCTGATCAATTAACCAATTATATCACATTGTAGTCTTACTGTCATTGGTTTAATGAAGATGAAAAAAATCAAGCGGATTCAAGATAATTATTTTGAGAAGGTTTTGTGTTCAAATTTAACGTTCTAAAAAATCTCCGATGACAAAAAACTGAACGGTCTTACTGTCATTGGTTTAATGAAGATGAAAAAAAATAAGTGTATTCAAGATAATTATTTTGAGAAGGTTTCTTGTTCAAATTTAACGTTCTAAAAATCTTCGATGACAAAAAAATTGAACTCTGAACGTAAAGTTAAACACCATTCCAATTATTCTAAACTTAAGTATTCCAATTAATCCACAATAAACATTAATCAACATGTGTTCCATATTGTTTATAAGAAACAAAATCAAATTAATGATGAATCTATCTCTTGGGTCATGAAATGATGGTGATTGCAATGTACAATGTGTTGCAACATATAGGAACATGCCAAATATATTAAGTAGGTGAGTCAATTAAGAGGAAAAGAAGAGAAGATTCGTTTTCTCACATGCCCAAGCATCCAATGTATGACTCGTGCCTTCTTTTATGCAGGCAAATAGTTGTCTGCCTCCAACTATTAATAATTTTATATAACCACAATTATACATCACATCAGTATTTTATCAGTCCATCTATATGTAGGTACACTTATCTCTTTATTCTTTGATCAAAGTCTTTAGTTATTTATAAAAAAAATACGCATGCCATCACACATATATCCATTTATTCATATAAATATATGTGTAAATAATCTACATAGTCATGTGCACATATAAAAATATATAGATATAAATCAAGCTGAATACATTAGCATAAAACTATGGTCATGATTGACTCATTAAATACAAAAAAAAAATGCAAATTACATAAACAAAAACAGCTAAAATAAATAATGATTTAGTGGGCAGACCTAATGGTGATGAATTAATTGTAGCTAAGTGTAGGGTATGGCCCTCCTTCTAGCTGTCAAAGGCAAAAAATCAATTAGATATATGACCCTTAGTCCTAACACATGGCATTGATTGATTTAGAAAATTCAAATAAATTTCTTACTTGGACTTTTTGGGAAAAATATGTCAAGCTAACCTGTCAGGATTTTTTGGTTGTGTGGTCTCCTCCACTTAAAAAACAAAGCTGCCCAACCCTTCTAACTTCACATGCATTCAATCCTTCAAAGCATCCTATTTGGTTTCCTTGAAATCATTATTTTTATTTATTTTTTAAATGTTTTCTAAGTTTCTTATGTTAATTGATTGGGACAAAGGTTTGGGTTCAATGTTTCTAAGATATGGATTAGTTGCTTAAAATTGTTTAATTAGATTGATTTGGCATTATTGTTTATTGATTTGCTTTTGATATCAACAAAAATGGATTTGTCTTCCATGTCAAATTTAGCTTGTGATTAACCATAAAATCTCCATAATTAAATACACATTTTCATGCTTAGGAAATATGCTATGGATGTAAAAATTAAAGTTTTGTTGTTAAATTTGAAAATACAAAGGAATTATGTTGTATAAATGTAAACAACAGTTGGAAGATAGTGGCCAAATAATGAGAGTTGAGCGGCTGTGATTTGATGATAATGGTTGAACAATGGTAATCACCATATAATAGTTGGACAGCCATTGTTGATAATGGTAATCACATAATAATAATTAGAAGATTGTGGTAAAATGATGATCATTGGATAACATTGATCGATGATTTTGACCAAATTATAATGCCCGGACAATTGCAATTATGTAAAGGTGGTCTTGTTAGGATGTGAAACCCAAAAACACACATTGATTTTTTGTGCAACGTTCCTGTGCCAAAATTGGTGAACCTACGTCGGGTGGCATAACTATGCTACAACCGGTCATATAGCTACACCACAATTGCTTCAATTCCACAGTGAACATGAAATGATTACGCCAAGTGTTGGTGTGGTTACATCGCGAGATGGTTTCTCTATTACGTGAGTTAAATCCCATGATTCAAAATGATGAATCTCTGGTGTATATGCACAGTTAACTCTCGATGACATTGGTGTGGAACGGTGAAGCTTGAGTGGTGGGTTTTGGATGTGTGATTTGTATTGTGAGTTCAAAAGAGGGGTTGGAGCGGTATTCCTATAAGTTTCAGTGGTGTAAAGAGAAGATCGAAGTGGTGTAATTTATATTCTCTCCTTTTTCTCCTTTTTCTAGTAGCTTTTTTTTTGGGTAGTTTGGCTTTGTGTTATTTTTCTAATTCTCAGATTTTTTCACGTTAAATTTTAGTGTATTTTTATGTGATTACTTTGTTGTGTGTTTTTGTTCGATATTCTGTTTAGATTTCTCGAATCGGTATGATACTATATTCCACAGTTTAATTTTTATTGGAAATCAGTCAAAGCCCTATGTTTGCTATCCCAATAGGTCTGAAAACATCGATCAGATGATGGTGATTAGATAATGATGATTAAATGATAGTGGTCCAACGATAATATCTATATGTGATAATCATCGAGTAAAGCTCTGCATTTCTTCTTTTCTCTAAGCTTTTTCTAATTTAAATTCATCATCCTCCGATGATCTATTTAAAATTTTTTAATGTAATTTATGAATAATTTAGCTAAAATTTAAAATATTTTTCAGACGACTCATGTTTATTTTTTGATCATAGCTTAATTTTGTAATATTTAGGAGCCTTATTGGCCTCACAATTGAGTGAATTTATTATTATTGGAGCCTTATTGGCCTCACAATTGAGTGAATTTATTCTTATTGGAGTTTTGTCATCAAGATATT